GAAGTTCCACGCTTTTTAGCCTCGCGATCTAAAGCGGGATTCGAATTTAGTATCTCAGTAACATCACTAACGTGAATTCCTAACTCAATTTTTTCATCAGAAAGTTTCTTGATATGGAATGCTTCATCAGCAATACCTGCACTGGGTGAAATTGCCAAGGTATAATCATTTACAAACTGTCTCCGGCCAGTGGCATCTGCATCAAGGTAATTTATGGAGGTGTCGGTTGATAAAATAGTACTGGTGACTGATTCGGGAAAAACATCAGCAGTGAAGTTATTATTACGGAAAATAGCATCGATTTGAATATTTTCATCATCTACAGACCCGAGCTCTTCCACTAAAGTACCAAAGGGATGTAAAGATGTAATGGGCCAGCGCTTGATAGAGGCAACAAATAGCCTATCAGTATAACTGTCAATATTCTCTATAAAATCATCTGGAGCCTGTTCTGTGGGAATAGCAATTAATGGTACACACTTGTCGGTAGGTTTAAACCAAATAATTTTGGGTTTCTCTTGTTTGCTATTTTCAGCTTGGGTCGATTGGCCCTTTTCTCTTCGTTCAGCATCTTGTTTATCCTTGGTAGCTTGTGATGAAGGTCTAAGCAAACCTAAGGTACCACTAAACAATTGGCCCGGAACACGGTCAATTACGGCAACCACATGGCCGGCGTAGAGAGGTTTAACGCTATCACTAAGTTCATCTTCTTCTGTTAGCAATAGACTCTGGCCTTCAACTTCGATGTCATCGTTCCGCTTTTGGCTCGGACGTTGTTTGAGAGAGCCGCGACGTTGTAAAGCTCCATTACCATTACCGGGTCTTACAGCAGTGGCATCATTAGCATTATTACTACTGTTATTCTTATTTTTATTGTAAGATTCTGCGAACAAACTATCCTTTCTGCGCTTCTTTTCCTCTTTCTCCTTCTTAGAATCCCAAACTTCATCAACGTCCAAAAGCTCAATAGCAACCAAATCACCTTCCAGGGCTCGGTTACGATCCTTGGAGCCACAAATAAAAATATCAGCATCAAGAAGTCCCTCGGTAGACACATAGGCATCAGAGCGGTTTTTCTTATTAACTCGCAAAATACCTGATACTAGGCGTCCCTCGGCCATCAAAGAGCTAAGAGAGGCTTGAGGTAGATAGGGGGCAAATAATGATTTTCGTTGTTGCGAATGGCCCGGTCCTGATCCTGTAGGTTGGTTATACATATTGAATGCACTGATAGAGGAAACCGAATTATTGAAAGAGCCTCTTGAGCGATGACTAGGAACAAAATTGGAAGGCGAAGGTAATAAATTTCCACTGTCGTATTGTAATTGTGATGGTTGTTGTTGCGGTTGCTGGCGCCAGTTGGAATCAAAATTACGCGAGCCGGTACGGTTGTGACCTCCGGTGCTAGCGTTGGAAGACGTCCGTTCGTGGCGACGATAGTCACCCGATTCATTTCCCGTAATAGTCCCCAATGACGACGACGGTGATGAGGATGGTAAGCCGGAAGTGGTTGTGGGGAATTGAAAATTGCGAAGAGGCGAATTATTACGTAAATGCGATTGTTGCAAACTTTGACTTCGGCCATGACCGGTCTTACGACCTCGATTACCTTGAGAATAATCACTTGTCTCAGGTTCGGGGGGGAACTTGAAACTAGGGATGGGTGAACCCAGTCCAAAACCGGAGCCCGACACACTAGCCGTTTCTGGAGAACGGTTAGAAGTAGTCTTTTGTGGTGATACCTGAGCAGAATTTCCGGGGCTATTGCTGCTCCCGCTTCGCTTAGCTTGGGCAATGGCTGCGGCACGTTTGGCTTCTTCTAGAGCCAATGAATGACGACGATTGTGTCCACTAGTAACATTACTTATTGGACCGCCGCCACCAGTACGAGCAGAATAGGTCCCAGAGGTATTAGAATTATTATTAGTGGGGGAGCTACCTTGTCCTAAACCAGATAAAGGGCCAGCGGTAGCAGTTGAAGACATTGTACGTCTATGGCCACCCCCAGCCCCTGAACCAGTTGCAGGGGATACACTGAATTGGCCAAAGGGGCCAGTAGGGGTAGCAAATGTGGGTTGAAGTGGAGGCGGGGTTGAGGACAAGCCTAGATTAGTCTGACTTGATATACTAGATTGTGCGATTTGCTGTTGTTGTGCAATTATTTGCTGTTGTTGCGCCTGTAAAGCTTCGATCTGTTGTTGTAAAGCCAGTTGCTCCACCATCAAAGGTGTCAATTCAGATGGGGTTCGGCGATGGGCGATATGAAGATTTCTAGGAGGCCGACCTTGATTACCTTGATCTTGAGTGTTGTGCATGGTATGACTTTAAAAAAATGATGCTGTCAGTTTTTCTCTTCGTTTTCTTGGGGGCGATAGGAAGTTTGCGAGTGGCAACTCAGGCTAGGGTAAGGAAGGTGAAATGCTTGGTGCTAGAAGCCAAATTTTGCTATAATTGATAATAATTTCTTATTAAAAAGGTGTTAATAATTGGGCAATAATATTAGACGTTTTTGAATTCAAGTTCAAAGAGCAACAAAGTGTAATCTAGAAGCCTGATTCATGTAAAAAATTCAAATACAATGGTGAAAAAAGTGGGAAAAATAACATACCTTGATGAAAAAAATCTAGGATGATGCTCTGCTCGTATAAGTCAGCAATTGAGTTAATGGGGATCAAACGTATATTGATCAGAAGATGGAATCAAATAGATTGTGGACGATTAACTAGAACCTCTTCAAGAAACCAAGGGTAAAGAAACAGAAACCGGGTTTACTTTTGTCGATCACAAAAGTGGGCAAACTGAGTTTTCAGGAATACAGTCTAGGAAAAATGGGCAGCAAAGAAAGCCAAACTCTGAATAGAGTTATAAAAGTTTTGGGAGCTGTTTTGAAGCAGAAGAAATAGACTAAGGAGGGTATATCGACGACTTGAGTACGGGATCACAGTGTCTGGCAAGGTTGTGAGAAGGATAGAAGGAGTAGGGAGATAGAGAGGGTTGATGAAGATGGGTGGTAAAGAACCAAGTGCTGTGAAGGAGTGCCACCCGAAAAAGCGGTAAAGCGGTGAGGCTTGAGAGGAGCAGACGACGGGCTTGTGATTAGCTAGGGACATGATATTTTGTTGCAAATTCCAAACCCCATAAACTGGCCCGTCTACTTTAAAGTACGGGACTGTATGATAGCTAAGATACTATAACGGTACAGGAGAGAAATCTAAAAGATCAAACCGAGTCTTTGTGTTGGATAAACTGGTGGTTTCAGTGCTGCAACAGCAACTGCCATGGCATTCTTACAATTTGGGCAATTATCAACCCATTCTACTGTCTTTGCGGTCAGGGAGAAGTCTCAAATAGTCCAAATATGAATACATTTCAGACTGTCTTCTGCTGTTGGCTATCCAAAGCGTCAATGATGAGGGCTTCTAAGCATGCAGATTGATATTGTTATCATCAATCTACACATGAAGTTTGTACACTCTCCACATTTATCATTCAAGTATACACTGAAAACGCGGCTACAGACCGTTGAGGTAACCACCCAAAGCACAGCTTTTGTTTTGTTTTGCTCTAATCACCCCTTCTTTTCCCATTTATCATTTTCCTTTAATTGCTGGTTTCTGTAGAACTTGTCTTGGCCGCTACATTGCAATTCCTTCTGGTAATTGTTCTTTATTTATTCCCCTGAACTGTCTTTCCCCTTTTCCTGATCCGGTACAGCGTCTGTAACGTCTGTCGAAAAATGCCATACATGCCATATCAGTGACGTCACCGTATGCTATATCTTTGGTTCCCAGGCCCACTTTTCTAGCGCCGGATCCCAAGGCTCATCCGTCAGAGGCCTTAATCATGGTTTTACAATCAGTTACGTTCTTTTCACGTCTGAGTGGCCCAGTCAATCTATCAGTCTTTTGGTTTCTCCGCAAACTTACGGCCGTCTGCTAAAACGGTTGCTAAGACACAGTTCCACAGCGGCTTGTATTGCAGGTCTTAGTTCTGCGTCAAACGTGTCATCCAGCGCCTAACTGTTTCACCTCATCGCAGACCTGACATATTCTGGTTCTTGCTTTCAAAGGGCCTCTTATTTTGGTTGTACACCTCTTAGGACAACCCAACTTGCCAAGCTTTGGTTTCAAAAAAGGTATGCCGCTGAATTTCAGGTTTTGAAAAACGAAGAATCATATCAGCCCATTCAAGCCCTTGTAGTCGGATTTCCAACTAGTTACCCATTAGAGCATACTAACAAAAAATGACATATCCATATGTAAACTAATTAAGGAGACCCATTTTGTAAATCACAAATTCTACTATATTCAAACATTTTGGCAAAAGAAATTGCAGCACCTTATGTTCCCACGTGGTCTCCCACCGTAGTACTTATGAAGGCTCTCACTGGCTTAACTATGATTGATCGGACGGGAAATCGTGCTTTCCAGTGGATATGGCCGCAACTGAAAGAAGTTTAGTTTTGTATATGTTAAAATTAACTTTTTGTGTATGATCAATTATGAGTTTAAATATTCTTTACGTTGTTGAAGTTGAAAATAAAGGTAATTATATTGAAAATGCTCTTTTTTGCCCCTTTCAATTCAATATTTTAAAATACCTTTTTTGATGATTATTTCGTTCCGAATATTGGTAAAAACCAACGTAATTTACAAAATTACTCTTGCATTAACTTACAAAAAAAAAAAAAAAAAAGAGAGAGCTTATAAAGGATAATCAACAATATTTTTTTTTTACGTAGGGAAATACTACTACTCACTACTTAATTGGCTTTTTTTGGTTTAGCTAGACTGGGCTACCTTATTTTTGAAGGGAAACAGTATATAAAAATAGTATAGGCTATTTATCAAACCAAAACTGAGAAGAGTACCTTATTTGGTAAGGCTATAATTTTATTATGGCCAAGGATTTCCAACTAAGTTTGTTAGACCTTTAGTAAAGTACGGTAAAAGATAATCGCTTCAGATAGTGAAAAAAATAAATATACGCCAAAAACAAATTAGCGTCGCTCGGTTTCGATCCGAGGTCCCTTGGGTTATGAGCCCAATGCGCTTCCGCTGCGCCACGACGCTTTTGGTTATAATTAGAAAGTATATATTTAATATAAAGAAAACTGACACACTGTAATTTTCGGAAATATGTAGAAGTAGGGTTTCACCCGACTTGTTATGGTTTTCTGTCAGGTTTGGAAATTTCCCAGTATTTTCACAAACGGTTTCTTGTATTACTATTCATAAGGGCCATTAACTACCGATGTTGTTTAGAAGGGCTTCTGGAACTTCTGCTGGCGAAACGTTATAAGGAAAAGGCATTTTTCTGATCTAAAAAAAAAAAAACGCTCAAAAAAATCTTAACGCCGTAACATGACGCTTCTATCTATAAAACCAATTAGATATTGCTGTAGGAAAGCCTATACCGACGTTGGGGGCGGCATTGACGCCGTGGGGGTATTTGTTTTTTGGCATAATGTATACTTTGGTGCGGCTAATTATTTCTTTTCCTATTACTCTCTCTCTCTCATTATTTATGTGCCCAGGGACCATGGACTGGCTTAAAAAAGCAGGAACGGCGAAAAAGAACAAATCTGGGGAATTATCAAAATACCGAATCTTGGAGATTTCTTTTCTTCCATTCTAGATAGTATAAAGCTGGTGATAATTTCTCGACACCCCCTTAATTAACCTACGGACATAGATAGAGCTAAACCCATTTAATTCGGATTTAATTAATACTGGGTCTAGCCCCAGATCACTAATAATTTGGAAATCAAATACATCCTTTATCGGACATAAAAACAATTTCGGAGTTAAATCATAGGGTTTCCCTATATTTTAAACAGCAGGTTCTGACTGGCAAAAAAACAAAAATTCGAACAAGGTGTATATAAGACCTAAAAAACTCCTAGTTCTTTTTCTGCTCTAAAATTCTCATCTACAAGTCAATTGACCCGGATACATTGGAGACATAAATACGGAAATACTCTGGCTTTCAATCTAGCCTCACTACTCCACAGATCGGAAATAAATAGTCCCAGAATCTAACCAAAAGTCCGTACACATTCAGTTTTAATCCCTTGTTTCTTTTGTGGATAAGCCGTCTTTCAAAAGTTATCATTACGAAGATTACCTGGAGTTTGGAAGTAATAATATGGACTATCTCACCACAAACATCTCCGGACGAAGTCAAAACCCTGCTGATTCCGCCCGTACTATCGGACCTGGTATGCTTTTTAACGCTCCTCTAAGTGAAAAAACCACCCCAATTGAGTCAATTTTATCCGAAGATCGGCCACAGGAAAAGAGCGCTGTGGTGACTTTCCCGGACCCAGAGGTCCAGACACCAGCTGCGGCAGTCTCAAGTCCTCCCGATGGTGGATATGGATGGGTATGCGTGGGAGCAGTGTTTGTTTTCAATATGTGTACGTGGGGTGCCAATTCCGCGTTTGCTGTATACTTGGCTCACTATCTGGCCGATAATAAATACCCTGGCGCTACCAAAGTTGATTATGCACTTATCGGTGGATTCAGTGTCGGACTAGGGCTATTCTGTGCGCCCGCAATCACTTACTTGAATAACTTTTTAGATACTCGACAAATTTTAGCCCTTGGAATCCTTTTCAGTACCGGAGCAACTGTGTCAGCTTCATTCACGAATCAAATTTGGCAGCTTTATTTGTCACAGGGGATACTACAGGGTATTGGGCTTGGCTTCATTTTTGTACCAAATATTGCTATTGTTCCCCAATGGTTCGCTAAGAAACGAACTCTGGCTAATGGGATTGCCGCCGGCGGCTCTGGGCTCGGCGGTATTATGTTTAGTTTGTCTATGCAGGCTATCATCAAGCGATGGAGTGTCAGTTGGGCACTTAGGGCTCAGGCTATGATGTGTTTTGTGCTAGGGTGTAGTGCTATCATGTTGGTCAGGACCCGAAACCATCATATCAAGCCTGATTTCAAATTCTTTGACTCCACCCTTTTGAAAATTTGGGGATTTATTTGGCTGTTGTTCTGGGTGTCCTTTACTATGCTCGGGTATGTTATCATTCTATATTCGCTCAGTGATTTCTCACGATCCATTGGGCTTAACAGTTCCCAGGGCTCGGTTGTAGCGTCCATGACCAGTGTTGGAATTTGTATTGGTAGACCTCTCGTCGGTTATCTTTCAGATATATACGGCCGTATTAATGTTAGTATCCTGGCTCATGTGCTTGTGTTTGTTTTTGTCTTCGCCATATGGATTCCTTGCAAAAACTACGCCACAGCTATAGCCTTTGGCATCTTGGCCGGAGGTACTATTGGCACTATTTGGGTATCCTGTGGTACTTTGACGGCTGACGTTGTGGGCCTCAAGCGGCTACCTTCAGGACTTACCATTATATGGATTGCTGTTGGTGTGACTGGTATATTTTCACAAGCAATTGGCTTACAATTGAAGAACGAAAATAGTGCTACACCTTATTTGGGAACCCAAATCTTTACCGGGTTTATGTATGTAGGCGCCTCTATATCCTTAGCTCTACTGAGAGGCTGGAAGATTCAACAAAACGCAGCGGCCAAAGGTGAACATATCGGCTTTTTTAAAAGCTTATTTGGCTACTCCAAGGTTTAGATCAAAAATAAATTCACTAATACCGATCTATAATATACGTAATACGTTTATAGTTGGGAATAATTGTATTATTAGACTCAAGTAGCCAACACACACCAATGAAAGAATTATTATATTTGAATTTTCATCATTAGATTTATCGTATATATTTTCAACTAAACTGCTAAAGAATTTACTTGAAAAATACGTTAAGAGTATTATGAAAACGTTAGGATTTATTAATATATTTAATACATAAAAAAAACTAGATTTAGTTTCTCTTTCTGAATCTTCTTTCAGTACCTTGGTTTTGGGTAATGTGAACAACGTTAACAGGGAGTTCAGAGAAACCAAGAGTCTTCAATAATTCGTTGGTGTCAGCATCAACTTGGAGCTTGTCTTCAGAGTTGGAAAGATCAAGAGCAGACACTTCAGGAACGTATTGATCCTTTCTTTCACGCTCTTCTTCTTGAAGCTTGAAAGAAATACCTCTAACGGGACCCTTTTGAATACGCTTCATCAAGTGGGTGGTGTAACCGGCAATCTTGTTACGGAGACGCTTGGAGGGAATGACGGCAATTTCATCAGCAACACGCTTGTTAACTTCAAAGTCCAAGGTGAGCTTGGGGTAGTAGCGTTCAATCATAACCTTAGCGGCACGCTTGACAGTCTTAGTTCTAACACGACCCTAAATAATAATAACAAAATTTCACGGTTAGTATTCTAATTAATAATTTGATTTTAGTGATGATGATGATTTATGAGGAACGAGGTATTATTGAATCAAATAGTTTAATTTCTTTAATGCCAGTAATTTGAGAGGCCATTCACATGAACCGAATCGATGAATATTTTATAATCGCCGATATTGCTCAAATATTTGTTGATAGAGCTATTGGTTCACAAGCAGAGAATTGGTGTATGTATATCTTTTTCTCTCAAGGATTACACCTTGATACCTGTAACAGCATTGTTCTTGCGCCGGAATAGTACACAGTATGCGGTTTTAATAATTATCTTCTTTTCATTTGGTCGCCTCGAAGTTGTAAAATATTTAGAAAAAGATGGTGAACCGCCCATAAAAGTGAATAAATATACAGGTATTATCAACCGCTGTGATCACAATAATGCCTCGTTCTAGTCTCTTATAGATCATCTCATATGTAACCATAGCGTCTCGTATTTTTAACTAACCATTTTGATATATTTTCTTCAACTGGTATTTGACAGACTGGTGTTCACCTGAAAAAAAAAAAGAAAGAGAATTTCTGCACCAAGATCCGCAAACCCCCCTCCCAGAAGCTGTTTGGCCGAGTGACTTTTGAGCGTTGGGAGCTGAATTTCTCATTTTTTTAGATGACCTAATATCTGACACACTTGAGTAGCCGTAGCAACCAAAACATTTATACTATGGGAGACCGACTCGTTGAGAAGCCTATGCGCCATATCTTTGCAGACCAAAGCCTTGACACTAAATGTGACTGTGGTTTCCCAAATGGGTGTAGAGTGTTTGTTGTTATGGTGACCATTAGATATAGGACCAAGCAAAAATAGTGAGAACATTACTAAGCAGACTATTATCACAGTAATACTGCTTATCGCTACAATCTTTAATAATTGCCAAAGTGAGAAACACAAATAGTGAAATTGATAAAAAACGATAAAGCCATTAGTTTCTCGACTACCAAGAAAAAAGAGATAATAAAGTACAAAAATGATGATTATATGATAGTAGAGAAATATATAAGTTTATATAAATTAATGATGGTAGCAGAAATAACCCCTTTTCCATAATGATGCTAGGCTTGTCTATTGCTGCTCTTGTAAGGTGCACTTTTTGATCACCGACTTGATAACCAAGGCCAAGTTAGCGTCAAGAGGAGGCTCGGCCGAAAGATACGTTTCCAAGGATTCTCTGAAGCGGGTCGCAATCTGGGACTTGAGCGCCTTATCGGAAGCGTAGGTCTTGGCGAGCGCAGTGTTGTACTTGTTGATGGCCAGCTTCAATTGATCAGGGAACCTGACGTCAATATGGGTCATGAAACGTAAAGGTAAGTTGATGTCAAGCAAGATGATTTCAACATTGGGTTGTGGTAAGTGCGATAGCATATAGGTTAGGACATGATCACACAAGTATTCGCGATCAATATCGCTGAAGGCATTGAATAATTTAAGAATTTGAATGGAGAATTCAATGGCTTTATCGGTTTTAGAAGCCGAGGTAGCAAATAATTGAGAATCGGATTCCAGATCATTGTATAATACACCCATGGCCGAATCGAAAATAGCCAAGGCAACGTCACCACGAAGAGCAGGGTTAGTTTCCACATTACCCAACATACTAATATCCGCATCGGGTAAGGATTTCAATTCTTCCTTCATTTCTTCGTTTGTAACTTCCGGTAGGTGGATAACCGAATCATCTTCGGCGGACTTATTATCTCCATTAGTCTCATCAGCGACTTCAGTAAGTTCAGCCTCCATT